CCTCCCTTTTTCTGGACTCCTAACTCTTTCTACTTCTACTCCTGGCTACTTCTTACATCTGTGTTTCAGCCACACTCCTGATTTTTGGGTAAGTGAGATCGAACACCTACCTAACCTTCTCGGATATGGGCGAAAAATCTCGTAAGTTGCATATGCAAGTTGCGCATGTTAAAGATCCTTTGGTGGTCCTTAAATCGATAAGTGTAGGCTTCGGCCACCACCCGGGAAAAATACAAAATTAATCCCTACCAAACCGAATATGCCTGATGTGACCGGGCGCTCATATGACCTCATGCAGTTGCGGGCGCCGTAATACACTTACGAAAACAAGCAAGAAAAAACAATCTAACAACTAACAACTAATTACAAATAATTTCGACCCAACAAAAGTCCAGACACATCACTAAGTTCTCGTATAGTAGTGCGGGCATCTTGCGCAATATGGTGTTAGATTGCATCAACATATTTCTCGTTCACAGGGGAATCTGGGTGGTCAGAACGTGAGTCATCAAAAACGGTATAGCTATCCTTTCATTCAGTTCTCTTACACAACGATAAACTGATGAACAAGCAGATTCCCCACAAACACTTACAAATTTTCGTGAATCAACTTTGGCAATTCGCCAAGCTTACAGTGTTTACAGATGTTCAATTAATAATTCCTTTTGCGATCTTCGACTCGTTTCCTCCAGGGAGCAAATCATCTTTTGTTCGAGACGTCATAAAATAATCAAGAGTGACGTCACATAACACTCCTGTGGTTGGTTCGAGAACAAACCTGTGGTAGGTTATGCGTATCCCTAATATAAGTCACATCTTAGCCGCTAGATGCCAACTTCCTTTACTTTCTGATCCACCTTCGTTGGTGGGTGGTACAACAAACTTTCCCTCTTTTTAAGGCGGCAAAAGTGGGCAGTGGCTATAAAAAAGGTAGACAAACACTGCTCTAATTGCTCTAATGAGTTAGTATGAGGATAATAATATACGAGTTCGCGACCGATAAAAGTGATGTTGTATGTCTAGGGTCTACCTGTAACAGAAAGAAAAATTAGCAACAACTCTTATGGCCTGTTACCTCAGCGTTCAGGTGTTTCAACTCTGTTGTAACATGGCACGAAGATAAACTATGTCATGCCGTATCCCCTTTTTGCGTCCCCCTTCCTCCAATTCCGCACACACCTTCTTGGGAAGGGGTCCTTTCCATGCTAGTCTGATTAACGACTACATTTCCCAGCACATGTATTGTTCGGTTCTTTTTAGCGATGGATTCTTTTTATAATCACATTCGCTGGCAATTTGAGTCTCCTCTC